AGGTTAGGGCTAATTATTTGCCCCTGCTGAGGCAAGACTCTTCTGAGTACTCTACCTAATATCCTATGATTCATGAGGTTTTCCAGTGTCCCTGGTGGAAACAGGTACCATTCCCAGCCTTGTGTGAACAGTGGGTGCCATTACCTTTAATTCCTTCAGGTTTTTTTTCCCCAGCCTTAGCTCATGTCCTCACACACAGATGCATTCTCTGCATATCTGCCCAAGGTTGGGTAAGGAAAGAAGGTGAAAGAAATTTTTCAACTGTAAAGTACTATTCTGATGTAAAGTTTGGGATATCACCCTGATTTGTCTGCCATTCACTAATGTCAAAATCCAGAGATAAGTAGAGACAAGTTATCCTAGTTCTATTCTTCCATGAGGAAAAAGCAAAAATAAGTAAATAAATAAATAATGGGCTAGGGCTGAAGCAGGGTGAATGGAAGGTAGACTGAAGGCCTGAATTATCTAGGGCGTTTTACCTGGTTGACATAGGGACTGGGAGAGAAGAACAGAAATTACAGCTATCTGTGTGTCCCAGTTGTCTGACTCAGGATGACCACAGGCCCTGCTTGAAAGCCTCAGTAGCTGAAGGATCAATAACCAGCTCTTCTACCCATTTTTGACATATCAGTTGGGTAATTCTGTTAAGGGGTCAAGTACAAGGCAGAGGCTAGGAAGCTTGGAAACCAAAGAATGCCTAGGAACTGTACTCAGAGTGAAGTCCAACCCTGGACCTGGGGCAGAAACTGCTGTTTATCTGGTCAGAAGGTGAGCAGAAGTGCTTTGGTTATACTCTAGTTGATATTCTCTAAGCACATTCCTATTTCAGGACTATACCAGGAAGTAGAATAAATCAAGTGGGACTGAACACTGCATATGAATTCTGACATGTAAGGTCTTGTACCAAGTAGTTGAAGAGAGCCAAGGATTGAATATTAGGATTGATGGGGGAGTGATGTATTCTTTAATTTATTAATTCATTCACTAAATATTTATGGAGAATTTACTTGGTGCCAGGCACTAACGGAAAGAGATAAAAGACATTGTGTGCCTCTTAGCAGATGAGAAAGGCAAATATTTGCATTGGAATATGGCAGGTACCAAGGAGGGGCTTGGCACAGATCACTCTGAGACCTCAGAGAAGCACATCTAAGCCAACCTTGTGTAAGAAATGGCTATGAGGATGGACTTTCTGGAGAAAGTGATGCCTAGGCTGGGCCTTAAAGGGTAAGAATTGGTCATGTACAAAAAGTAGAGGAAGAGCATCTCAGGCAGAATAGAGGCAGGATTCAGTGCAATTAGTTTCTGGTAGTGTAAGCAGGTTGTTTCATTGGCTGTAGGGGATAAATGTGAGCTGGGGCTGTTGAGAAAAAGCAAGTGTCAGATGAAGAAGGGCCTGGCATGCCATGCTAAGGAATTTTACCCCAAAGGCAGTGGAAAACCACTGAACAGTTTTGAGTAGAAGAAAGGTGTGATTGGATCTGCTTTTTAAAATCTCTTTCTGGTAGTGATAGGGAGGAGGGCCAGCCATCAGGTAAAGCAGGGAGCCCAGCTTTTAGCATTGACTCCCTTGCCCTTCCTCCTGTCTTTATTATCCCTTTCTCTTTATAAAATCTATTTTCTCTTTTCTGCATTATCCAGTATCATTTCTAACCACTGTCTAATTTATTCATGTTGACTCAGCTTATCCAAACATACCATGCTCATTCCCATCTCTGTGCCTTTTCATTCAGTAAGCATTTAACAAGTACCTATAGTAAACCAGTCATGGTTCCTGGTATGAAGAACCAAAGATGAATGAAACATGGAACCTACATTTAAGCTCACAGACCAGTAGAGAGATACCCATGGGAGCACATTGTTACTATAGGGATGATAATGGCCATGAAATGGATAAACATAGATTACTGTGAGCATAAAGAAAAGGGAATCATGTCAATGAGAAGCCCTCTTCCTTCTCTGCTAAATCCTGCCTTCACTCTATATAGAGGCAGGGCAGGGTCTTTATACACTAGTTACCTATCACATCTGTCCTCTATTTAGAACTGTTAGTGGCTTCCTGCTGTGTTTGGGGTGAAACTCCTCAGCATGGCACACCAAGGCCCTTCTTCATCTGACTGCATAGTGTAATAGTTTGGAGCTTGGTCTCTGAAGCCAGAAAAGATTTTAATCTTGGTTCTGTCACTTATGAGACATGTGACCTTGGCCAGAAATTATTTGTGCCTCAGTTTCTTCATCTGTAGAATGGGGCTAATGGTTGTATTGACTTCATAGGGTTATTTTGTAGATTAAGAAGTTAATATACATATAAATCTTTAGATTGTTCTTGGCATGTGAAAATTATTCAATAATTATTGACTGTTTTTTTTTAAATATTTTATTTATTTATTTGACAGACAGAGATCACAAGTAGGCAGAGAAGCAGGCAGAGAGAGAGAGGAGGAAGCAGGCTCCCCATTGAACAGAGAGCCTGATGCGGGGCTCGATCCCAGAACCCTGGGATCGTGACCTGAGCTGAAGGCAGAGGCCTTAACCCACTGAGCCACACAGGCACCTCTTATTGACTGTTTTTATTCTCAGTTTTGCTATCATGTCAAGAAACTTTAACCTTTAATTATTATTGTGTTACTTGCCCAGTGTTAAGTGTTACCATAGTATTTCTTTCAAGAATGATTGTATAATAATCTTTGGAGGCAGGATACATTTCATATGCATCTGTACTCGTGAGAGACTCAGAGCCTGTCTTAAGGTGTTTTAGGTATGTCTTAGGGTGATCACCCATTCCAACTTGCTCAGAAGTGATGGGACGTCTAGTGTTAAAATCAGGAAAATCCCAGACAAACTGGAACAAGTTGTCCACTTTATGTGCAGTGGGTCCTTCGGTTTTGCTTTTTATTTATCTCTTATTGGTCTCAAACTTCACTTTCAAATAAGCTTGCTTTGGCTTTGCCACAGATATTTATTTTTTGCCTAGAAAATATAAGGTCACAACCTGTGGGTTTCTTTGGGATTTCCTGAAATTCTGTAGGGTTTAAGATAGAAAATATGAGGGATTCCTGAAAAAAACAAACAAACAAACAAACAAAAACAAAACTCCCATCTGCTCTGGGTATATTTACTAGAAATTGTGGACAACCACAATTCCATGAATTCCCTAAGTGGCACCAAGGGATTCTTCCTCCTTTTCAAGTCTCACCACCACTCTACTCACCTGCATTGGGACAACATTTGCCTAGGCCATTGTTTTTCAGACAACATTCCTTAAGTAGCCATGGGGACCTCTCTAAGTATTTCTTAAAACCAGGACACGTGTTTACTGAAGGCTTGCCCATCTTCCTCAGTAAAACTGAGAGTCTGTGTCAACAGCCTCTGAAAGTTTCGACCCCAGCGCATTAGCTTTCCAGGGCTTCCATAACAAAGCAGCACAAACCAGGGAGCTTAAACGACAGAAATGTATTGTCTGTCAGTTCTGGAGGCCGGAAGTCCAAGATCGAAGTCCAAGATCGAATTGTCAACAGGATTGGTTCTTTCAGAGGGCTATGTGGGAGAATCTGTTCCCTGCCTCTCTTAACTCTAGCAGTTTGCTGGCAATGTTTATCATTCCTTGCCCCATAGATGCATGCCCCAATCTCTGCTTCATCTTCACATGGCATTATTTCTGTAAGGATACTGGTCGTGTTAGATTAGGAACCCGCTCTGCTCCAGTAGTACTTCGTCCAAACTAATTACATCTGCAATGACTCGGTTTCCAAATAAGGTCACATTCTGAGGTTCTGGGTGTTAGGACTTCAACATGGGAATTTTCAGGTTGGGGGCAAGGAGTACAATTCAATCTTTAATGCCCAGATCTTCAGGTGAATTAAAAAACAAAAAAGTAAAACAAAGCAGAACCCACCCCCCAAAAAAAACAAAATAAAAAATGAAAACTCCACGGACACTAAAGACCACTTCTCCATAGGCCAAGTCATTACTCATAAACCCATTTCAGTTCTCATTCACTGTGCATTTGATACTTTCCTTTTGCCAGATTTGCATCCTCACCAGTCACCACTTATTCACCACTCCATAGGGCATTGCATGACTGTAGGGATATTAAGAAATATGATAGACACTTGAGTCACCGGTTCTCAAGCAGGGAATATCAGGATCTTTTTTAAGGGAAGCTTGCTGAGGAAAAGTAGAATCCGTGGCATAACTCTTATAAAGGCAGTGACTCCCGTCCTGATGAATAATAATTACAAGCTGGTTGCCTTTTTAAATGCTCTAGAGAATACCGTGGTGTGTACGGACAGGGGTTGGAGGAGTGTGTGTGTGCATGTGGCAATATGCGAGTGCAGGCAGTCTCTTAAGATCGCCAGGCTCCTCCTCAGCCTTCCTGCAAACATTAAGCCTTCACTGGGTGCACAGGGAACAGCCTGCATCTCCTCTCTCTGACCGTGGCTGCTTCCTTCTGTCAGCTCCCTGGAATTGCTGACCCCTTCCCCTGCAAAAGATAGCTCTGTTCCAAAAGATAAACACCAGTAGTCACAGGGAACTTGGGGGCAAAAGTCAAACAAGTCTCCTTGTTATTGTTTCCTGGGTGTTCTCGCATAGAAACACAGACGATCTTTGTGGATGAGGTATTTCTGACTCTGGCAGTTACAGCCTGATATGCAAAGGCAGCGATGGATCTTCGCAAGGGTGGGGAGTCGCAGCGCACGGGGACTGGGGTTCTCGCATGCCTCCTCGCTTCTTCCCAGGGACATCCCACCTCTGAGAAATCTTAGGGATGGAGGAGGCACCTAGCTAGTGCCCACTTGTGCCAAGCTGCCAAGCTGCTAGCTCGCTGAGAGGCGGCGGGCGAGCCTGGCACTCAGCTCCTCCGTGCTGGATCAGGGAGCTGTGGGCTCCCCGCCTACGCCCTGCACTGCAGCTCTGGGCAGCCCCGGGTGGGCTGGGGGAAGGCGCGAAGCTCAGTCAGTGACTGCAAGTTGACTTTCGCTCACTGTTGCTGCTGGCAGAATACCTACACCAATGCGGACAAGCTCCTAGAAGCCGCCGAGCAGCTGGCTCAGACGGGGGAATGTGACCCCGAGGAGATCTACAAGGCAGCTCGACACCTGGAGGTACGCATCCAGGACTTTGTGCGCCGGGTGGAACAGCGGAAGCTTCTCCTGGACATGTCTGTCTCCTTCCACACACACACCAAAGAGGTAAGGTGGGCTGGTGGAAAGAGAGCGTTGGCTGGTATGCCCCGGGGGCCTGGGTGGTCTTAGGGTCCCTAGCCTCCGGACAGTGATGACACTCGCAATTTGCCCCGATAACCTGTATTTAGTTCTCAACCAGAATGGAACAAAATTTTTCCCTTCTCATCTCTAGTGAGGGGAGGGCCACAGAAGCAGGTCATTGACGAAGTCTGCTAGAGCATTCAGTCTGCAGCTGGAGAAATTTGGGGATCCCTGGTGTAGAAATAGCCATGGCAAAAGGAAATGTATAATCGCCGACTCCTTTCCCACCCCAGACCCACTTTCTCTTGGTCGCTGTTTCCTGTCAGAAATCAGTCCAGCAGAACTTTGATCATCTTTGCTACCAGCAAGAAGCATACAGAGTTTGCAAATGTGTTCCATGTTTTTCTTTTATCTTTTTAAAACAGAGGATTAAATCTTCTTAATGAGGTCTGCCAGAGGGTTGATGTTAAAGCAAGTTGGTTCTCAACTTGCCTGCTGGTGGAGTGGCCGCCGGTGAAGGAAAGGGGAACTTACCCTCATGCAGGAGGAAGCCAGCTGGGCTTAAGTCCGGCCTGAATCATTCACAGAGTGGAGAGGGGAGAGGGGAGAGGGGAGAGGGGAGAGGGGAGAGGGGAGGATGGATTAGGTTACACTATTGGCAGGGCGGAGGGCCTCATAGAGAGGAGGAGGGCTGCAAACCTGCAATTGCTTTTCATTTCTGATTAACATGGCACACTCTGAAATGGAGTAAGTGGCCAGCGAGGAGGCACACTGAGCATCTTCTATAATAACACCCTTGGCAGATGAACTCATTAGGTGTATGCGTGCTTGTGTTCCCCCAGGAATTCATTTTAATAGAGTATTAATTAGAGTTTGATTGCTTCTCAGGGAAAAAAAATTAACCCTGCTTAATTAAGTTGATTTTTTGATATTTGAAATGCATTAAGAAGCCTGGTTGTTACTACTTCACAGGCTTTTCTGACACTTGGTGGGAATGAATGCAAATCATTGCAGTGCCTATCAGAGAAAAACATGAAAAGATAATGTTTTCTAAACTGAGATTCCCCAGGCAGATGGAGGGCTGGCGAGCTCCCTGAAGATGGCTCTGGTTCCTCTCTGTGGGACCCACAGCCACTCTCTGATGAGTGTCTGTAAAGCAAGGGGATTAGCTTTAATCCAGGTTTTCCTGCCGGGCTGTCTGCTTGCTTGGGGCTCACCTGATTCTTAATGGTTTCAGAAAGCAAAGTCTTGTGTATTCTCTTCTAATTATGAGCCTGTGGGTGATGGAATGGAGCAAGAATGAACAGGAGTCATGTTCCCCGTGAGGGCTGTGGGGGTGCTCACTGCCCAGAGAGGTGATGGGTGAGGTTAGTTTAGCCGTATCTCCATGTTCTGTGCATGGACCTAAAGACTGGGATTCTAGTCCAGAGTCTGCTGCTATAGAACCATGTGAGCCAAAAACTAATGATATACTATATGGTGACTAACATAACATCATTAAAAAAAGACAAAAAACAAAAAACAACCATGTGAGCTTATGCAGATCACTATGCCCCTGGCCCTAGGTTGCCCCATCTATAAAATCATACAGTTGGATTCAGTGTCCCCAAGACCCCTTATAGTTCTAGTGTTCAAGACTCCTTTCTTTTTCTTCTTTTCATCTTCTTTATTTGATGGTGATAATAACAATAATAAATAAGAGTAAGTCTGAAATAATACAGATGATTTCTCTGACCTAAGATGTGGTTCATTGTAAGCACTCAATGCATAATAGGTAGTATTTTTTTTAAATTGGGCACCTTCTCCTTGCCAGACACATGGAATCGTCATGATCATCTTATGGTTTAGATTTTCTTAAACACAGTTTCAAACAGGGAAACTCGGGCTCGCAAAAGAGTCTGTCTACGTCATGATGGAGCTTCTCACCCATGGAGACCTTACGTGTCTTCCTGAAGACTGCTCGTGCTTGCCTCTGCTGTTCCATACTCTCTCCTCCCATGTTCCTCTGCTATCTCCTCCCCTCCTCTGCTGTTCTTCCTTCTCCTTACCCTTCTTTTTCCTCTTTACATTTTCAACCCTTGAAACAGGGCCTTGATGGGTAGGGTAGATCTTAGCTGAGAAATGCAAAGTGTTGCTAGGTTGTGGGTGTGGGAGGCAGAGGCTGATAAATACTGTCACAGATCCTTTCTGCCTAGTTATGGCTAATTTCTTCCTCCTTCCTTTTTTTTTTTTTTTTTTAAGTAGGCTCCATGCCCAGTGTGGAGCCCATTGTGGGATTTGAACTCACGACCCTGAGATCAAGACCTGAGCTGAGATCAAGAGTCAGATACTTAACCAACTGAGGCACTGAGGCACCCCCTCCTCCTTCCTTTTCTTTCTTCCTTTCTATCTGCATCAGTCGTCTCCTGAGTTTTTGCATTAATGCCACCGTGTAATAGAATGTTATTGTGGGATATGATTTCGAAGGAATTAGGTAGAGCCCCCTATACAAGAGATTTCTGGGCAGGAACTGAGCATCCGCCTTCATAAATGATTTAACCTAGGCTTCCCGTGACTCCCCAGGCTGAAGCTCATAATTTTACTTTTTCCCACTTCCTACATCAAAAGATTTACTCTAATTAGGATCAGAGAGGAAACAGGAGGAAATTATGAGAAAGATACCCTCCGAGCCCATTTCTTCTACAGATTGAATAGTGTGTTTAATCCTTTTGGCCCTGCATCATGAATTCTTGGTGACCATGGGAGTCTGGAAAGTTAAAACCTTCTAACCATTTTATTGCAGTGTTCTTCATAATTTGAATAATTAAAAACTATCTAAATAGTCCATGTTGAGTGATCCATTAAACTATTCACAGTACATCTAGCCAGCGAAATATTATATAGTTATTATAAATCACATTGTCAAAGATCATGAATAGCATGAGAAAGGGCTTGTAGTGTAACATATAGAACACTGTATATCCAGCACAATCACAATTTTGATACACACATAGAATAGAGACCAGAAAGCAGTATACAAAGAAGTTAAATGCATGGATGATTTAATTTTCTTCTGCATTCTTTTGTTTTATAACTTTCCTTCAATGACATGTTTGATTGGAAATCCATAACAATCCCAATTAATGTTATTTTACAAAAATAAAATTTGTCATCCGCTTTGGAGAGAAGAGCTACACTATAAAGAGAGCTGACAAACATGTGTTGGGACCTTCTTATGTTCACAGAGCCTCAACTATTCGCATCTATTGTGCTGAACTTTCCAATAGATTCTTTTTGCCTGGGGACAGGAGGGCAGCTGGCATTTTGCTGTTCTTGAGAGCTAGGGAGAATGTAGGGAGAAGAATTTACCCAAGTCCTCATTTCCTTTGTCCAGGGAGAAGGCATTTGTAGCAAGTGTCATTTGCTCCGCAGAGATTGTCCAGACAGAATTCTGTGCGTTTCCATGGAAATGCTGCAATTGCTGGGCTTTCAAAATATCCATTTTTACATATTTTTCTAGTAATAATATGAGAGTCAAATTAACTAAAGAATGTGGCCAAGATAATCAACCTCGACTCTTTATTACACAGCTTAATTAAATGCCCATTCCTATTTGTTTCTAAACTTGTGAAATCATTCTTCCGTGCTATTTTCTGCTCAAACAGGCACGCACACACTCACACATACACACACACACACACACATACACACATCCCACAAACACCTCAGACACTTATATGAACACATGGTCCTCTCCCCAACCACCACAGAACCAAAACGAAATCAGTCTTCCAAAGCAATGATGCTTGCAAGAACAAGACAGTTTTGGCCTCCATCTCAATTGCCAACTGTCACGATATTTGTTTAAGAAATAAAAGCCGGTCTTCGATGCCAAAGAAAAATGATCTCTTCAAAGTGAGGGGAGGGCAGTTCACCCTGTGGAGCTAGGTCTGTGAGACATCTTAGGGCTGTGGATTGTCCCAGCACAGTGCTCCACAGCTGTGCAGGTGAACCGCCAATCAGCAGAGGAAAGTGGTACAGTAGACTACCTTCTTCCGTAACCACTCATCCGTAAGCCTCATTAATTCTACAGACTTCCTAGGGTCTCCCTTCCTTGCCCTTCCTCCCTGCCTTTTTCCATTGCCTCTTTCTCTGCAGGCAGTATGGGCTCCTGAACTCCCCGGTTCACTCTTCGGACTAACTTCATGTAGTACGTTCAAAGGCTCCATCCACTGCACCTTTGCTAAGGTTCTAGAACTTCTCAAATTAGGTCCATTGTTTGGATACAGGTATTTGGGGCCACAACCACATGTGTTCTCTGAGAGGAAGAACACATAAAACCACCTAAGTGCGTCTGTCCACATGGACCGAGTAATCATTGCCAACCAAAGAGCAGAGCCCTGAAGGAATGAGTCCCACTACAGGTGTGTTTGACCAAGAAGAGCATCTGGAAATGGCTGAAACATGAGAGTCATTCTGGAAGCAGTGGATTGAAGGAAAAGATGCAGTGCTAATGTGTTGGACTCTCCTTACACAGGGGGTAAAAAGGATCACCCTAGGGGAGAGAAACCAAATGGAGAACAACAGGATTACCTCACACACTCCGTGAGTTTGCCTAGTTTTGGCAGTCATTGCTTGTGGTAGCTTGAAGGGAGAGACCATTCTGACTGGGTTTCACTGGCTGCCTGATAACTCGTAAATTACTAATAGAAGTGGTGCTCTGATGTGGATTCTTTTCAAAGCAATCTAGGCACACTCTTCAGGAGTAAGTCAGATGGACACATATACAGAAGGAAACCCACAGGACATTCAGATGGGAAAATTGTAGCCTAGGAAATGGAATATTGGCCCTTACTCATAGTTTAGGGACACTAATGTTCCTTTTTGTCTACTTTATGTACGCCTCAGAGGTCCTTATTCAAAAAATCGTAGTATGAGCTTGCGATTTAAATATGCTGCTCCTACAGTCACCTGTGTGGATGTGACCTTGTGGGATTGCAAGTGGCTCACAACTCAAGCTTTCTAGGTTGCTAATAGTGTCTTAACTTGATATCATAGTTATCCTCAAACTGTTGCTAAAGTTTCTGGACTTTGGGTGTCTCTGTGTCCAAGCTGGGACTACTGTGTTTCAGTTTAGAAAGCCATTTCTTCGCTACCCTCTTCTTGACATCAGCCTTTGAAGAGAAACCATAGCAAATTAGAGCTGGAAGGGATTTTAGGGATAAGCTGGAGAGCCCACACATACACATGCCTACACGTGCACACACTGACCAGTTTCAATAGGAAGTAGTTGAAGTAAAGTCGTTTTCCCATGCTCAAGGAGTAGCCAACAGAGGCAGAATCAAGAATTATCACCAGTAAATACCAGTTTCATTCAAGAGCTCCTTTTCTTCTGTTTGTTTTCATAACAGAAGGACAGATAGAGAAAGATGTCACTAATATTTTGTCTTTGGTGCTGTAGTCCCCTTCCCTAGCTCCAAGCCAGATTCTCTTTAATCACAAGCAATTTTGTTTGACATTTTATCCTCCTGAAGGTAGACCAGTGCTTCCTTTTCTTATCAGCCTGCTAACCACTGGGCTGAGCTGCACTGAGTACTGTCCTTCATCATTTATCTTTTAGCTGATTTTCCTTAGCAGCAAGTAGGTTTGATTTTGCCTTAGACAAGTTTATTTATAATGTAATAGAATATGTGACTAGAAATGTGAGAAATCAGTTTCAATTCACTAGTCAAAGACTGTTTGGGGGGAGGACACATTTTTCTAATGACAGTGACTTCAGAGATCAGAGTGTATTCTCAGATGTCCCTACTCTTTCCCTAGTCCCTTTGTTTATACCACTGATGTCTCATTTTTATCTGGCAGTTTCTATGGTCAGTTTCTTTACCCCTGCTGTTTAGCTGCATGACCATCAGGAGGAGGGAGAGCCATGAAGCATGGTGGATTTCCTCAGAAAAAAATGATGCTTTCTTCCCTAGACCTACACCAGAGGTGTTCAAGTTTTATTATGAATACGAGAATGGGGTGCCTGGGTGGCTCATTCAGTTAAGTGTCTGACTCTTGATCTCAGCTCAGATCTTGATCTCAGTGTCATGAGTTCAAGCCCCACATTGGGCTCCACTGGGAGCTGGGTGTGGAGAACAAAAAAAAAGAAGAAAAGACCTCTAAGCTATGAAGCCATTAAAATAGCTTAAGGATGGTACTGAGAACAGAATTATCTTAAATCAAATAAAATTCTCAAGAACCCTATAATCTTCTTTTCTGTCTCTTATTCCTGTAATAGCAAGTACCAACCTTACCCTGATCGGTCTTCCGTCTCAATGCTTGTCCTCCCTCAACACATCAAGTTTCTTTTCAAGTCTTCTTGTTTCTTCTTTCTTTCAACTTTCTAATCAAGTCTTATATGACTTGTTTGGTATCTACAGTTTTTATCTCTCTCTTTACATCCTCTTTTCCTTTGCTTTTATTTCCTTTCCTTTCCTTTTCTTTTCCTTCTTCCTTTCTTTCCTTTAGAAATATCTAGACTTTCCAGTCTCTAGGCTTTCCTTAGACATCCCAGGACAAAGCAGCAAAAACAGCAAAGAGAGGCCCAGCTCAGCCTAGCCTACTGAAAGACCAAATCTGGTGTTGATCTTTTATTAATTCTGAAATGAAGGAGTACTTTAAACTTTCCTGCTGCCTTCTAGTGGGAACTGGAGGTGGCTTGCATCAAAAGTATCTTTTAAATATAATACCTAGCACTTCCTCTATGCTAGGCACTGTTTCTAAATGGTATATATAGATACAGGTATCTATATAGATAGATACGGATATAACTCACTTATTTGTGTATATGTACATACAGACATACACACACGGTATCAACTTCTTAGTAATAGTAATAACTCTGGAGGGTACATACTATTATTATTGCCACCCTACTGATAAGGAAAACTGGGGTGCAAAGAGGGTAGCTTATTTGCTCATGGTTGTCTAACTGATACATGGTAGAATTGGGGCTTGAAACTCTTAACCATTATGCTCTACTGCCTGTCTGTACAGTAATTTTTCAGAAAACCCATTATCTTTTACCCAGGGACTTCAGCACCTGTAGAAAATGCTTTTGTTCTCTAGGCCAAATGGCAACATGAAATAACATGAACCAACAGTGACCAATACCCTGAACTTCCTGGTTTCCTGGTTTCAAACCAATTTGAAATAAATACATTCATACATTTAGGAATATGTATCCCAGCTTCCATGGTCTGGAAAACTTGCCGTCTGTTTGTACAACAAAAAAAGGGGTTTTTTTTGTTTTGTTTTTTTTTTTGTAAAGGAAATAAACTGAATTACAACTAGATTGTAAGCTGCTAAATGACAGGAACACTGAATAATAGTAATTTGTATCCCTTATAGCAATCATCACAATGCCAAGGGCTTATTAATAGTTTTATGTGTTCAGGGGCACCGGGTGGCTCAGTCGTTAAGTGTCTGCCTTCGGCTCAGGTCATGATCCTGGGGTGCTGGGATCGAGTCCTACATCAGGCTACGTGTTTTACACATGAAGTCATAGAAAGCCAAGGATGGAATGATTTATTCAAAGGTACCACGAGTTAAAAGACTAAGCCAAAATCTACATCTGATTCTGTCTCTCCATTTTCTCTCCATACTATGTTTTGTTTTGTTTTGTTTTCTCCCTGGTAGAGCCCTGAGCTTATCTTTCTGGCTAGCCAGGTGAAGGTTCCTTATTTCTAAGCAAGCATCAGACTCATCTTTCCCTTCCTCATTTTGTGACCATGCTCAGTAGGAGTATTAGAAATGGAGCCCTTTGGCAGGCCATGGAGACCTAGTTTCAGTATGAAGAAGAGTTATCATTACATGAGTTTTCAGTAATTCAGTCCAGCTCCTCATCATTTCCAGTACTTATTCTGTTCACAACATTATACTTAGCTCTTTTAAAGTTGCCTGACCAGTAATATCACCCTGGCTGCATTTCAGTGCTTTGAATGTAATGGGGGAAATGTTTCATCCTTACCCTTAAATTAAGATAAGCTACATTTTTAGCATTCAACCTTCTAACCAACCTAGCACCCCTGAAAAGACCAAAATAATTTAGCATGACACATATTTTTAAAATTAATCTTCACTTGGTTCTCTTTTTTTTAAGATTTTATTTTTTTATTTGAGAGAGAGCAAATGAGAGAGGGAGATCATGAGAGGGGAGAGGTAAGAGGGAGAAGCAGACTCCCCACCGAGCAGGGAACCCAATGTGGGACTCTATCCCTGGACTCCATGATCATGACCTGAGCTGAAGGTAGTGGCTTAACCAACTGAGCCACCCCGGCGCCCCTTCTTCATTTGGTTCTTATTGAGCATCCCATTCCTTTTTGCATGTTTCCAAAGTCATGGTACATTTCTAGAGATCAACACCTAGCAGTCTGGAGTATGTACAGCCCTCCTTTCTGAAAGATGAAATAATATATGTCCCTCAGCAGTCCCCTGTTCTTCCTAGTGTCTCCAAGATGAGTGATCGCCCTGCTCTACGATGGCAAGTTTCACTGACCCACAGGGAAGTGAAGCCTGGGGTGGTTCTCATCCTTAGGGAACAGAAACAGTGAACTTAACGGAGTGAATTTAATGGAGTGAACTTAACAGAGATGTTTAATGAATTTAAATGTAGGTATGCTGGTGAGAAAAACAGTCTGACATCACACTGACTGGTGGAGGGTAGGTTGCATGTCCCATGTCTGACTTTCTGGCCCTGGCCCCAGCCCTGACCTCTCCTGTCTGCCCTGCATGGGGTCTCTGCTCTCTCTCCCACAGTTGTGGACATGGATGGAAGACCTTCAGAAGGAGATGCTGGAGGACGTTTGTGCGGACTCAGTGGATGCGGTCCAGGAACTGATCAAACAGTTCCAGCAGCAGCAGACCGCCACTCTAGATGCCACGCTCAACGTCATCAAGGAAGGCGAAGACCTTATCCAGCAGCTCAGGTCAGCGCCTCCCTCCCTAGGGGAGCCCAGCGAGGCCAGGTCAGCATGGGCAGTGCTCTCCAGTGGGAAATGCCCTCGACTAGATGTGAGATAAGTCATGTCCCAGTCTTGGCTCAACCACAGCCAGCTTTGTGGTCTCTTGTGAGCTTCAGTCTCTCCATCTGTCAGATATAAAAATGCCTGTGCCATACCCAACTTGAGTTGAGGATGAAATAGGAAATGAAGAAGCTCTGATGTTTCAGAGAATTATATATTATTCATGATGTTATTCAGCAATCAATAAGTAACACAGACACAAAAATTAACCACATTCAATAGGAAATAAATAGCATCTTCATGAAGAATTACAGCGTAGTTGGTTATGTGGGGAAATAGCCTTTATGGAGTCCCATGTCATTTGGCTTCTGATCGTGGGCTGAACCCTGAATGCTAGTGCTCCAGGTGGCAAAAACAGTTGGCTTTGGCTCCATGGGGATCTAGAGAGTGTGTGTCCTTATCCCAGTCTGCTCTCCATTGCTCACATATGACCTTTCCACCATTCCTTGCTGCCCAGAAAATACAACTCCCTCTGTACCAACCTAAACAAACGTAACCAAGAAGGAAAATCCTGTCGAAAACCTTACATTCATTTAGAATCACCCACAACATTGCCTCCTTTCTGTGGCCATCAATATCTAGTTTCCTCCTGTCAAGGGCACAGACTCCTCAGATAAGGTGTCACAGGCAGTGAGCCAGCCCTCAGCACCACCTCTGGGCCCAGGTGCTGTATAAGTAGGACTTGATGGTGCTAAGGATGTCTTCTGCCCCCAGGGACTTGCTCTGTCCTAGAATCACTGAGTGTTGGGACCTCTGCCAGCCCCAGACAGAAATAATCTCATCAGCAAGTCCCAGGCCAGCCCTGGGGCCTGAGGGAATTACTCGAATTGGAGAGGGTTTTTCCCCGTTACTGGTTGTCCAATTAAACAAACAATGAGAACTTACCTTGAGATAGCCCCGACACATTTTTTCTGTTGGAAATTAATCGTGTCTATTCCAAACATGCACGTGGGATGTTTCTGAGTCCTCCTGGTGCATACTAACAAGACAACCTCTTTCCCTTCTTTCCCCAGTTCATCTTTACTAATATATAATATATGAGTTTTGTCTGCCTATCTAAGAAACCCTACTGTTACTGGCTTCTGAAAAAAAATTCCAAATAACAGGCTGTCACTTAAGCTCTCTGGCCCTCAGCTGCTTCATCTGTGTAATTAAGGGGGTTGCTGTAGGAACTCTGTCAGCTCTAGAATTTTGTGATGGTTTTGTGTTTCCTCTCCAAATGCTCTTCGGAAGCTTAGTGGGTTTTGTTCTGTGTGGGCTGGGTCCATGTGGGTGACCCCTGCTCTCACCTGCCAACCTTACATGATATCTAAGGGCCAAGGGCTACTCTGTGATGGCAAAGGCCTGTTCTACAGCTTAGATGCCATGGATTTCCGAGAGGACCCTATCTAGCTGTGTGACCAAAAACCACTGGGGACCGTGTGCACCCCCACTAGCATGACTCTAGCCCCGGCACCCGTCCTTGATTTCAAGACCCATCAAAGAGGAAAAGACGTGAACCATGCCTGGTGGAGAGGGGCAGATGCCTCCTGCCCAGCAGAGCACACATCTTCTCTTGGTCTCCGTGACTTCGCTGGCACTCATCATCAAAGCATCTCAGGCGGTTTGGCATCATCTCTGGGCCTCCTAGTGAGTGTGACGCTGACATTGGTGCTGTGCAAAATGGTCAGAAATTATTCTCTTCCTTCTGGAAGCTGTGTGATAGAAAACAGCCTGAGAGGAGCAGTCAGAAAGAACAAGCATATCCTTCCAACAGCAAAGTCCTCAACGAATGCATAAAGCAGAGCATCGAGTACCTGCCTTATGTTCCGTTCCTGGTTGGGCTGTCTGTGCAGTGGTGGGTTTGGTGCCCAGAGAGGCCGGTGTTGGGAGCTCTCAGAATGGCAGAAGGAAGGGTTCCTGACCATGGGCCTTACACCCCTTCAGAAACAATATGAACTCAGACACAGCTGCTTCTGAGACAGACACAGGCTGACAGCATGCTGATGATTTTGCCCTTTTCTTCTGACTTATTACAGTGTATAAGAAACCAGGAAGCCACAAGATAATGAACGTGCCCCTTTATTGCAAGCTTTAGGGCCCCCTAGAATCTGAACATCTCGACACCTGTAACTGACCTATTATAATGATCTCTTTGGAGGTCTCACCACCCCCTCACTTCTCTGAGCAGCTCAGTATGTTTTCTTTTGGTTTCCCTCTATAGCCTGTCACCTCCCCTGCCACTTTAGCATAGACTCTTCTGCTCAGAGAGCACAGGCCTCCCACCTGCTTGGTTGGGTTCCTCCTTTTCACACCCAAATCAGAACACATCCTCTTGGCAGCCTTGCTGCCCAGCCTAACGTGCCCCTACCCTCTACTCTCCACAGCTGGGCCTGGACCCCCATCAGCACATGGCACTTCTCACGTGTCCTTTCAGGATTCACAGCCACTCACGCAGCATGTTCTGGTCACCGAGCACATTCACAGGCACAGTCTCACTTCACAGCAAAGCACGAAGTGAGCAGGTCAGGGCATTACTAAGTGCCCTTGTCAGGAGGCTGCTGGGACTCCAGGAGGTGATGTCCCCAGGCCACAGGCCCCTGTGTGTCAGACTGGGGGCACAATCTGTGCTTGTGACGTCTGGATCCCATGCTTTCCTCACAGCAGCTTGGAGCCTGTGTGGCAACACAGGCTCCGCACGGTACTGTGAAGTGGAGGAGGAATTTTGGTAGCGTGATCTCATTTTATTTAAACCAGGAAGTGATTTTTTTTATGTGCCTTTAGTTTGTCTACTCTTACGTGTTGTGACCATTGTGTTTACTGTCATGCATGTGCACATGTGCATGTTAAACCTGTACGTCGTAGGCTGCATGTATGTGTGGCACCCATCCGTTTCCCTAACGCATTCTGCCTCTGAGAGCCCTTTGCCTACGTTCCCTTGTCTGATCCCTTTCTCCTCCTGGAGGACGAGGAGAGCGGCTAGTCTCAACGCTGCATTGCGGGGAACCTCAGAGAGGATACACGAGTCATCGGTTCCCCTGCTCCAGAGATAGTCCCAGGGTCACAGGGGGAGTGTGAGAAATGTCCTGAGTGACCCAGCCCATTCACACCCCCCTTGCTCAGAGGAGGAAGACCGCCTGCCCCCATATCCCTTTAACATGGCCAGGCCTTTCCCCCCTCCTGTGCCGCAGGGACTCGGCTGTGTCCAACAACAAGACGCCCCACGGCAGCTCCATCAGCCACGTCGAGTCAGTCCTGCAGCAGCTGGACGACGCCCAGGTGCAGATGGAGGAGCTGTTCCATGAGCGCAGGATCAAGCTGGACATCTTCCTGCAGCTGCGCATCTTTGAGCAGTATACCATCGAGGTAGAGGCGGGGGCGGGACACGCGGACAGAGAGGGTGGGGAGTCAGGGAGAGTTCTGGGGGCACCACCTAGGGGCCTGCTTCCTGCTCAGGGGCACGGCCTGGGTCTGGCAAGGGGGCATCGGGCAGGACCCTAAGGGAATTCTAGGGGATGGTCCCTTGAGGATCCATTTGCAGAGTCAGCAGATTCCCAATCCACGTTCTACCTGGTTCTGTTCCTCTGTCCTCACCTGCTCTGCCAGGCAGAGAGCCTCTCTGTTTCACTTTCTGTCTGGGAATGACTTTATCAAGAAGGTTTTTGTTGGGGTTATTTGGACCCTTGGTACGTTGGTTCCTAAAAGACCATGGCGTTGGCTATTTGAGTTAGCCATTGGGTCCTTTAGCTTCAGGAGCAGGTAGGTGTTAAAATTCGGAGGCCTCCTCAGCTAATGACTAGAGGTCAGGAGCTAGATGAAATCACAGAGCAGTCAGGAAGTTAGGAGCCACAGGGAGGAAGACCTTTTCTTTAATTTGCTTTGCGCTCACCAAGAAAGTAAGTCTGTGCTAAGGCCATCTTGGTTCATCTCATGGACTCCTCAGTTCCTTCCACAAAGGTCAGAATTGGATGTTCTGATATATTTATATCCCCTTTGTGATGCCTATTAATAATGTCTGTTCCACATAATATCCACCTATTATTATTTTCTACTTTGAAACACTAACTAAAGCCAGGCCAGTAGGGTTCCTGGGTTGTGAAGAGTGTCCAACACCCAAGGCACTTTGTCCTTTTCAGGGATGGGAAAGAGTTAAATTAAAGAGGCACTATCTTTGCTCCCTGCTGGTGTGGTATGAGGGAAAGCTGCTCTCCACCCATCATTTTAAAAAAAAATTTTGTTTTGCATTCCGATGGTCTCCTAACAGTTTGGGCTTCTGGGTGTCTGGGAATGATCTTCCTAACAATATCTGTGGAAACTTCATGAAACTGGTTTGGAAGGAAAAGACTTTTTTTTCCCCCCCTAATGTTGCAGTTCCCATATCCCAATCCCAGTCCCAGGCAGGACCAGAGAACTGTCCTGGCAAAAGATGCTCTTTTCTTCAATTCTGTGACCAACAGGGTTTATATTGACAATCAGAAATATAAGAGGAAAGCAGTCCTAAAGTAATCCTTCCTATCCATTACTGTCTTAATGATTTGTCTCTTCTTATAACCACACCTCTACCTTTCCTTCCCTGGAAGCCACTGCAATTTCTTGCTTAAGACTACCTGTTTAAAAAAAGGGGCGGTCTGGATAGTTTGTGGCACAAAGGAAAAGAAGAAAAGATGTCTTTAAATTTATATCTTGATTATCCTTCCAACTTATTCTATAACTTTAGGTGAATTTATATGTACTTTTACTTAATTTACTTTGAATCTACACTCAAAAGGATGTCAGGGGGCAAGTACTATTAAAACGTAAGTTGTGGGGCACCTGGCCACCTCTGCTGGAGGTGTGTGTAACTCTTGCTTGATCTCAGGGTCACGAGTTCAGGCCCCACACTGAGTGTAGAGATTACTTAAACAAACTTTAAGAAAAATAAATGTATACTTACAAATATATATTGAAAGAACGATAAAAATACTAGTGGAAAATTAGAGATTTTGGCAGGCAGCAGAGAGAATGTGGTGAATTTCATAGAGCTGGGGTGACCAAGGTAACAAAGACAGGAAAGAGGGGCTATGAGTTGTTAATCTCTGGTACTCGGGAATGAGGCCCCCCAAAACAAACAGAGTTCCATTTGATTGTCAGGCCCAGCCCCAGGCACTCCCACCATCCCTCCCCAGCTCCGCTGTGCCTGCCGAAGGTGAATGTATCCCTTGGGAAATCATGAGAGCAGGTGTGGGGATTCTGCTCTCGCAGTCTCCATTTACTCTCCTGTCATTCCCGGTCTGCATCAAAAACTGCTTAAGTGGAAGGAAACCATCTGAGGGTTTGGATGTTTGGGTTTTATTTTCTTAGATGACATGGTTTTGAGGTCACAGTTGCTGGCTTAGTTGCAGAATGGGATCGATAGCTTCACTTTGTCATGAACTGCACCCCTGACATTAGCCGAAGGGGGTAGCGGGCATCACTAGGGTGTGTTTGCCTATAGCGGTTCTGGGAAAATCCACTCTCACTCCTGAAAAACAATCCAGACGATATGCCAAAATTATCCATTAAAACAAAAAAGCAAACTGCAAATCCAATACTTTAAAACTGGCTCCTATTTAACTGTTGCACCAGAGGAGCTTGCTGTTTCAGTTACAGGATTTGAATTCTTCAACCTTGGGGTTGTATACAAATGCTCTCCCCCACCCCCGCAGCTCCCATACCACGCAACAACGTGAATAGTTGATCTGTAGTAGAGAGCAAAGGTGGGGACATCGTATGAGGGTCTCATAAAATGAGGGAGATAAAAACAGTGACTTGGTTCAGCACCCTCTGGTTTAGGCAATGACATGCAGGTTTTAGAAGGGGTCTTGTGCCCCATCTGGGGTGTGGCCCAAAGCTTGGGAAGTGCTGCATTTCATCCCAGATCAAAATGGAAATTCTGCCAACCCTATGGAAAAGTTCTGCTTCAACTTAGATAGTCAGAAGTTATTTTTGAGGGTGATGAGATTATTTCAAATACCAGCCAGTGTTTCACTGTGGGGGGATGATGAGCAAACATCTAGAGAAGAGCCAGAGTGGGAAACCAAGGGCGGCTTCGGCAGTGAGGGGCATGTCGGAGCTGACATTAGCCAGGACAGGGGCCCTCTCTGCAGAACCTTCAGCTATGGGGTCCTTCTCTGGAGGAAGGAATTTGATGGACATACTCGGAATTCCTGGGGATTACTGAAAACCAGAGCAGGCCTACATGCCTGACATCTGGGAATCTGAGCATGACGCCTTAACCATGTCACCGATGGCTGAGATGGGCTAATTAATTTAACAATTAAGATAGTACGGGAGTTGCTGTGCCAGACTCCTTTTCCTCAGTAGTGTGTGTGGCGCCCAAGGGATAACCTGGGCTGAGGTCATAGGGTGCCCCCACCAAGAATGAAGCTTACCTAGATGTAGTAGCCAACTGCTCTAAAGCCAGGACTGCAGCTGCATTCCTGACAGACCATCTTAACCTCCATGGAGACTAGATACAGTGACCCATGGGGGAACACAATGTTCTGTAAAGTGTTTCCTATACGTTCAGCTTCCCCCCATGAAAGAAGTTTTATATGAAATGGTTGTGATGCAGAGACATTTCACCAAACGTGAATAATTACGTTGTGGTGGTAGGAATATGGGTGATATTTCCTTGCTGTTGAAGCTCCCATGCGTTTCAAAGTTTTCTACAATTAACCAGAATGATCAAAAAGAAGTTTTTTAAAAAAAAGTTTTTAGAAGCAAGAACAGGCCAGGAGTCTCCAAACTCCTTTGATCGTGCACTCTCTTAAGAAATTTTTTTGAACTTGCAACTCCCTATCTTTGCATATATTAGTTTATAAATGGTACACATGTTCTATCACTGGCTCATAATCTTGGAACTCAGGGTACCCTTAGGGTGAAATTCAGCTTTTTCATTAGAAGTTGTGGTTCCATATTTCAGATCGCCTCCTTGATCATCTCTAATTACTTTTTTGGCCTGGTTTCGTGGCAGATCTGATTAGATCATCATTATTACTTTACCCCACAAGGTGGCCAACAGAGAGTTAAAAGTTCTCATGTGCTTTCATGCATATTATTGTCCTCAAACTGCAGTTTCTTTGCAGGAAACTTGATAAGCCATGCGTCTTTCTGTGAAGCTTAGTTAAAAGTGGATAATAGATAAATCTGTTTAACTGGGTGCTTGTAAAGAGCAATAATTTGAACTCCCCTGAAAGCAACAGGATGAATGAGCCGCCCTCCTGCCCTCCTGGCGGCGCCCTCTCCCACCCCTCGGGCTGCCGGACCTTGTAGCGAGATTCCAGTGTCAGTCTGTCAGTGAGTGTCTAGGGAAACATTGCATCTTTTTTACTGACTTAATCAAATATGTGTGCCTATGATATACATGCACATACAGATGCATATTTATACAGGGAGAATTTTTGTGTTTTCAGTGGATAACCTGGGGCACCCCTGGGGCGGGCATACTCACATTATAGAATACTAGAAATGACACCAAGAAAGATACTGTACATAGGGGACTTTATGAAAAATGGGCCACAGTTATGGTCTTCTTTTAAATCTTCGACTGTATAATCACAAAGTTTGTTTGGTGTCCCTGCAAATTAATCTGTGTAATTAGCCTGAGTAAGGAATGGAACGGCCAACTCTAGATCCATGGAGTTTGTATTGGGACAAGTTGTGGCTAGGCTGAGGCTGGGGAAAAGATAGCCTTCGAGGAAGAAAGTTCCGCCTTGAGGACAGACTGCTGATTACAATTTACTGGTGGTCTCAACTCTTCAAGACGCCTTTAGCATCTCATATTTGAAAGAGATTGCTCAGTCTGCCTTTTGCCTGATAGAAATCCAACTCAGTCAACATTTAGTGAGCACCTAATATGAGTCAAAAAGGATGTTGGGCGTTGAGGATACAAACAGTCCTTGCCATTCTGGGCCTAGCTGGGGAGAAACAGAGAAACTGAATCATTGTACAATGTGTTAATTCTGCGGCAGAGAGAGAGACTGACAGTTGGATGAGAACACTGAGGCAGGAATATTTAGTTTAGTCAGGCTGCCCATGGAAAGTTTCTTGAGGAGATTATACCTGGAAGACAGGTAGAAGTTGGTGGCCAGGATTTGGCATCCCCAGGAGATGCAACCTAGCCTCTACTGGGATATCTCCAAATTCTGTAAGTGAGGTTTGGGGGGACAGGGGCAGAAAGGGGAGCTCAGGATTTATCAGTGTATTGAACTAGAATCTCCAACCTTCTGACCTTTGATCCGAGTCTGCTCTCTGGGAAAACAGAATAAATCTGCTCCCTCTTTTATTTGGCAGCCTTAAAAACAATTGAAAATGGTCATCATAGGCTCCTTCTCCTTTACCTGAAA